GGGGGGGCTCGAAGTGGCCGTGTCCCGCTTGCAGGCCGGACCTCATCGACTTCCACAAGTTGACCAAGTCCAACGCGACCTACAACCTTCAACAAGCCTTCAACACGGCCGAGCAGCAGCTAGGGCTCAGCAAACTGCTGGACCCCGAGGGTAGGGACGGGACAGGGTGGGGGGTCCGTCTGTCTGTCCGTCCACGCGGGGTGGGGTGTCTCCACCAAGCTCCTGGCTCTGTTTTTCACCTCAAAGGATTTTAGGGGGGGGGGCTCAAGGTTGAGGGGAGCAGCCCAGGGCTGGGCTTTGCTGGATGAGGGCTGGTGGCCAAGGGGGGGCTTTGGGGAGCCGGGCAGGGCTCGGGGACCAATGCTTCACCGCCTGCCAGACGTCAACATGGAGGACCCCGATGAGAAGTCCATCATCACCTATGTGGTGTCCTTCTACCACTACTTCTCCAAGATGAAGGCGCTGGCTGTGGAGGGGAAGCGCATCGGGAAGGTGGGTTTGGGTGGGTTGGCTCCACGGGGATGTCCCATCCTTGGCTCCACGGGATGTCCCATCCTTGCCTCCACGGGATGTCCCATCCTTGGCTCCATGGGGTTCCCCATCCTTGCTTCATGGGATGCCCTACCCTTGGCTCCACGGGGATGTCCCATCCTTTGCTCCATGACGTTCCTCATCCTTGGCTCCACGGGATGTCCCATCCTTGCTCCATGGGGTTCCTCATCCCTGGCTCCACAGGGATGTCCCATCCCTCGCTGCACCAGGGACCAGCAAGGGCAGAGCTGTGCTGGTCCCTGGCGGGGCTGGGACAAGCAGGTTGCCCCTCAACCACGCATGGTTGCCCAAGGGGGTTCTGTGGGATGCAGCCCCGAGCCCTGCAGGTGACCCCACCCCTCTCCCACCAGGTTCTGGATCAGGCCATGGAGATCGAGGCCATCATCGAGCGGTACGAGGCGCTGGCGGCCGAGCTGCTGGCCTGGATCCAGCACACCATCACCATCATCAGCAACCAGAAGTTCGCCAACTCCTTGACCGGGGTGCAGCAGCAGCTCCAAGCCTTCACCGCCTTCTGCACCCTGGAGAAGCCCGTCAAGTGAGCCACCTCCTGGGGTCGGGGGGACAACCACGGAGAGGGGACAACCGTGGCCGTATCCTGACCCGGTGCTGCCACCCCGCAGGTTCCAGGAGAAGGGGAACCTGGAGGTCCTGCTCTTCACCATCCAGAGCAAACTACGGGCCAACAACCGCAAACTCTACGTCCCCAGCGAGGGCAAGAGCATCTCCGACATCAATAAGGTGCTGGTGGGACCGGGGCGAGGTCTCCATCCTGGGGGACCCCGAGAAGGGCTGGGGACCCCCTCGTCGAGCCCCGGTGTCCCACCCCTCAGGCCTGGACCTGCCTGGAGAAGGCAGAGCACGAACGGGAGGTGTCTCTGCGCAACGAGCTGATCCGGCAGGAGAAGTTGGAGCTGCTGGCCCAACGGTTCGACCACAAAGCCGTCATGAGGGAGACGTGGTTGAACGAGAACCAACGCTTGGTCTCGCAGGTGGGATGGGGTGGGCGGGGCTTGGCAGGGACCCCCACCCTAGGGTGGGACGCCTGGGTCCTCTCCCTGGCCGGGGTGGGGGGGTGAGGACCACAATGCTCGGGTGGTGGGATCTCCTGGCTTGCCTCATTGGGCTCCCTCGTTGACCGGGGAGGGGTCCACCCTGCCTGACGCCATCTCCCCCCCACCCCAGGACAACTTCGGCTACGACCCGCTTGCGCGCCGCCCGCCGGGTGAGGCCGCCATGAAGAAGCACGAGGCCATCGAGGCCGACATCTCCTCCTACCAAGAACGCATCCAGGTGGTGGTGGAGCTGGCCCTGGGGATGGAGTCCGAGGGCTACTACGGCACCAAACGCATCAGCGCCCAAAAGGACAACATCCTTCGGCAGTGGGGGCTGTTGACCGAGCTGGTCTGCCGCCGCCCGGCCCGTCTCGAC